TCTTCACCCCTTGAGTCCTGGTACCAGAAGTATATGCCATCAAGTGGAGCTTATGGGGTGCTGGGTATTGAACCCAGGACTTTAGGCTTACAAGGCAGAGATGGTACCTACAGCACCAACTCTGTATTACTTAACAGATTTTTTTTTCCCCAATTTGAGAACTAAGGCTCGGGATAACCAAATGCTAAACAAGCGCTGTGCCACCGAGCAACACTCCAGCCTCAGTGACCCTTGTTACCAAAATATAGTACTCGAGTCCACATCTGCACATGTATGTTTGAGAAGCCACATCAAAGGCTAGTCCTGGTTTGGTCTCAAACTCAGACTGACCTTCCTGCCTCAGTGTCTTAACGCCTGGTTTACACCCTTGAAAAAACTACACGTAGCTGTTTTTCCAGTTGTTGTTTTTTCTATTATTTTTAATTATGCGTATGCTTTTAATTATGTGTATATGGGGGTGGGAGTATTGCCCGTGAGTGTCTGTGTGAGCCACCTGATGTGGGGCCTGCCTAGGAACCAAACTCTGGTCCTCTATGTGCTTGTAACCAATGAGCCTTCGCTCTAGACTCCAACCAGGCAGATTCAGAGGTGTCTATAGGTAGTGACAAGCTGATTCTAAATTTTATATGAAAACATGCAGGACCAAAAGAAGCAAGCTGGAGCTCCTATGATAGCCCATGTCCCAGAGAACTACAACAGTGTGCATTAAACACAAACAGACTGCAGACTGGAAGGGAACCCATGGATTCACAAGCACACCCCACTGATTTATGAGGTACGTGACACTTCAGCCCAGAATGAATGATGGCTGAAGTGGGGCCAGATCAACTGGATAAATGCACTTGAAAAATTAAGAAAAATACATTAAAATTAATTCCAGATGAATTGAAGCAAAACAAGATGTTTTTACAATATACATGAACATATATACATGTGCACACACTGTGTTGTGTGCATATCCATTGTATACACAGAGGAGAATAAGTAGTAGATACAAGCAAAGTTTCTCAATGAGGACAAGAACGACCAGCCACTAAATGCATCAAACTGATAAAATGAATGATGTCATAACCAAAAAATGGTTAGCCCGGTGGCTCAGTGGGTAAAGGCACTTGCCATTAAGTCTGCTGACCTGAGTTCCACCTCTAAAAGTCACGTGATATAAACAGAGAAATGACTATGAAAGCTGCTCTGTGGCCTCCTCTTACATACCATGGCACACACGTGCATACGCACACGCTCATGTGCACATGCGTGCCCACACACACGTTAAATAAATGTAATTCAAAAATAAAAACTGCTCATCGTCAGCATGGCGGCACAAGCCTGTAATCTCAGTATTTGGGAGGAAGAGGCAGGAGAATTAGGGCTGTGAGGTCAGCCTTGGCTGTATGAGACCCTGTCTCAAAACAAAACACAACAAAGCAGGAGTCCTCATCAAAGGACTCCACTGAGTATTTAGAAGCACAGGAGGCAGAGTTAGAAAGTATGTTTTCAAAAGTCTATCTGGCAAAGGATCAGCAAATAATATGATATAATTAATATAATATAATATAATATAATATAATATAATATAATATAATATAATGAGCAAAGACTTTCTGCAAGTGTTGTCAAGTACAGTCATCTATATAAAGATAGTCAGGATGGTAGGAAAACAATGGAAGAGAACAGTCTGACTCTCTCTCTCTCTCTCTCTCTCTCTCTCTCTCTCTCTCTCTCTTTCACACATACACACACACACATGGCCCACCATATCAGCAGATTACTCATACGTGAATCAAAAACAGGCCAGCAATTTGTTTCCTAAGACAACAACTCACACAGCTCTGCGTGGCCTTGAACACTCCTGATCCTCCTCTAGCATTTAAAAGAAATATATATGCGTGTGTGTGTGTGTGTGTTGTAAGAGAGAGTAGAGGAAAAGAAAGAGTGAGAAAGAGAGAGAGTATCCTGTGGACCTGTGTGGGAGCAAATCTGAGACACAGGATGTGTGGTAGAGGTGTCACCTTTCCGTGGTTTACAGAGATGGAAGTCAAGCTGCCAGCCTAGCACTGCAAACGCTCTTGACAGCCAAGCCATCTCACAGACCATTTCTCAGAATGTCTCTGAGCTAATTAAATACAGACAGTTTCTGACTGCTATTTCCTAAGCTACCTCGTGTAATAACTACTTATCTAACATTTACACTGCACAGAGTATTATAGGTAAACTGAGGGGAGGGCAGAGACAGCACAAAGGAAAGTATGCTAGGAATATGCAAATTATGCAAGGAGTGGAGCATCCACGGGTTTCTGATATTACAGCATCTTGAGTCCAATCCTCTACAGATCGTTGGGCACATCTGTGTGTTCAAAAGGCTGTTACACATCTGGAAGGGGTACAAGGGAAATTTAAATTAAGCCCACCCTCAAACCTGCACACTGGAGGGCTGAAATAGAAAAGTCTGGAAGCCTCAGTACTGGTGAAATTACAGAGTGAGTCAAGCCCTCCTTCCTGCTGGGAGAGCGATTGCTTGTTCCCCTACTAGAATTGCTGTTGTTGCTGCTGCTGCTGCTGCTGCTGCTGATGATGATGATGATGATGATGATGATGGTGATGTTTAATAAGTTTTGAGTTTTGTTTGTTTTGAGACAGGGTCTCTCTCTACACAGCTCTGACTGTCCTGAAACGCTTTTCATAAACCAGCCTAGTCTCGAACTCACAGACATCTGCTTGCCTCTACCTCCCAAGTGCTACAACTACAAGCAGGTGTTTTGTGTTTTGTTTGTTTGCTTGTGTTTTTGAGACAGGGTCTCGTGTAATTCAGGCTAGCCTTCACCGTGTAGTCAAGCATGGCCTTGATCTTCTCACTGCCCAGTCTCCACCTCCCAAGCAAGTGCTAGGAGCCCATGCAGATACAATAAACCTGTTTCTGCAGTGCTGGGAAGTGAACCCAGGGCTTCGGGCATGCTGCAGATGAACTGTATCCACATCCTGTGCTTTTCCTTTTAATGATGGGTTTACTGAAGTCCAGAAAGTAATCTGCTCACACCCTTGTCTGTGCCAGGTCTTGAGGAGGTGTGAGGTGGTGGCCAGGAAGCTTGCATGGCTGTCACCACCCTGCTTGTGTGCTTGGAGTTGCAGACGGTGTCTGCCTTCTCCATCCGCAACAGAAACTTCTCTTTATTTCTTTGTCTTCTGTCTGTTCTTTTACCCAGACATGAAACACTCCCATTTCTCTGCTTGGCATTTTGCTAAAGTCTGAATACACCCCTGGGAATGAGGCTTAGTTCTGCCCAGGCTGGAGAAACAAACAGACGCACACAGCAAACAACATGTGTTTCCAATCGCATCCGAAGACCCAATGCTTTCTGCTTATTCTGAAATGCGTCCCCAGAGTGCACTCCCAGCAGTCAAGGTTAAGGTCATTTTAATTTCTCTACAGGTTCAAATTGCAAAATCACCCTCTGAAAAGATTGGACCAGAATACACTAGACGCATATACTTGCCTCTTTTGCTCCTCCTCCTCCTCCTCCTCTTCCTCCTTTTCCTCCTCCTCCTCCTCCTCCTCCTCTTGTTCCTCGTGCTCCTCCTGCTCCTCCTCTTCTTTTGTCAGTGTTTCTGGTGAAATAGACTATGTGCCTTTGCAGATCTTTCCACAACTGTTAAATCTATACTAAACAGGGTCTCACTATGCAGTCCTGGTTGGCCTTGAGGTAGCAATGGTCGCCTTGCCTCTGTCTCCCAAGTGCCAGGATTACAAGACTCTGCCACCATTCCCAGCTGTTTAAGAGTTTTTGTTTGTTTGTTTTCTCTTTTGACTTGGTTTTGGCTTTTATTTGTTTTGTTCTGTTTTGTTTTGACTTCCTCAGGTCTTGCTCTGTAGCTCATCTCTGGCCTGGACTTCACTGTACAACTCAGCCTGGCCTCAAGCTCATAGAGAACCTGTCTTGGCCTCAGTGCTGGGACTGCAGATGTGAACCTCTCTTCTACTCTCCTATCTATTGCTGTGATAAACACACTTTAGACAAAAGGATCTTGAGGGACGACAGGCTTTATTTCAGTTTACAATTTTATGTTATCACTGAGGGACTCAACGTTTGCCATTCTACACAGCATTACTTTTTTTTTTTTCCAGAGCAGATAAACTTTTATTAAAATAGTTTCTTAAACTGAAGGTGTGACTCATTCATCATGCCCTGTGTCATGCAGTCCCTTACCAAGTAGGGCATCATGTCTGGAAACCATACCCTGCCATGATACAGCATTACTTCTGACTAAAGAAAAAAACTCACTCCACAGGCGAGACGTACAGCAGAAACCATAGAGGCTATTGCTTGCTAGCTGGCTTTTTCACCTGCTAATATTTAGCTGGCATTGCCTAGGGATGGCGCTGCCCACAGTGCCCTGAATCTGCATAAATCAACTGACAATAAAGACAGTCCCCCAGAGACATGCCCACAGGCTAATCCTGTGGTAATCCTCACTTACAGCTCTCCTCTCAAATGACTCTAGGCTACCAACTGACAGAGCCAATCAGGACAGCCACCATGTCTGGCATAAAGACGATTCCTTATAAATGCTGTTGGCTGGCTGGCTTCCTTCCTTCCTTCTTTTCTTCTATCTTTCCTCCTTCCTTCCTTTCTTTCTTCTTTCCTTCTATCCTTCCTTCCTTCCTTCTTTCTTTCCATTCTTCCTTACTATTTCCTTCCTTCCATTCTTCCTTTTTCTTTCCTTCTTTCCTTCCATTCTTCCTTACTCCTCAGACTCATGCCAATGTGGTGAAGCCTCACAGTCTCTTCTGGATCAAGTCACTGCTACTGATTCATGTTTGGTGTTTTGGACTAGACTGCTAATATCTCCCCTACCTTTGGTCGGTGGGCTAGAAGGGAGGTTAAAGCATTTAAGAACCCTAATTAAAGTAGGTTTTGAAAAATCTAAGCCTACAGGAAGGAGTATGAGATGTGAACTTGTTGAAGATGTGTCAATGAGGACAGGCTTTAAGATTACAAAAGACCCCTGCCCCTAGAGGCATTCCAGGTGTGACTGCTGCGTCACATGTGCATTAGTAGGTGGCAGAAAGGAGAGAGGCTGTGTCTACACTTAGTGTTCTGATCTATGAACATATAAATTGTTGGCAGCCTGTCATTCCCTGAAAACATTTAGCCTGAGACAACCACCAGTCTGGGTCTGTTACCACCAAAGGCCAGGCAGATGTCCCTAGTCTGGGCTGCCACCAGGGACATGATATTTGAGGGCTGTAAGCATAATTTTTTTTTTTTTTGCAGTATACTTTTGATAAGAGTTCAGTCTCTCTTCTAGCCCATCACCCAGCAGAAGTAGTGGAAAAGAAAAGTTATTAGGATATGGAGAAGTGGACCCGTTCAGTAATAGTTCTTTGGGGGTGAGCTCAATCTTCTTTTTCAGCAGTTTGATCTTGTAGCAAACACTAGTCCTCTAGGCAGGCAGACACCAGGCATGAACCAGCAGCTGTAGTTCAATCCTGAAGAAACTGCCAGGCTTGCCAACTGGCCTAAGATGAGGCCACAGAAGCAGCAAGCTGCTGCAGGAACCTCATGAGCAGTTCTTTGGCAAGTTTTTCTCAATGGCAGCGTTACCACAAGTTGAACTCAACAACTCTATGTAAGGCAAACCAGTACATGTGTATCTTTAGTGAAGAATAGCAAGGCGGAGCACATCAAACCAATGCTCAGTAATCATCTCCCACTGTCTGTGGGGTCATATTTATACTCCTTCATCAAGCATCCTTTCACGTGTTTGCTATATCAAAACATCCTTTCACCTGTGTCTGCTTCAGGAAAACATTCTTTCACATGTTTGCTTCAGCAAGACATCGTTTCACCTGTGTGCCCGAGCAAACCATCATTTGACATAACTGACTTTCCAAAGAAACTAGAAGTTGGCACTTCAAGTGTTGTGCAGAACTGGCCCCATCCCTCTCCTGGACATCATGAAAGAGCTGGCTTTGGGGTCATGAAAGCAGGAGAGCTGACACCGTCCCTAGCCAGTTGAAGTGCTTAGGAGTTGTTGGTAAGCCAGCCCAAAAGCACACAAGCATGGCAGAGCCCTACCACTGTCTCCTGTGTGGTGGTGTGGATGAGAGAGAGATAACTTCCTTTTCCCTCACACGGCAGGTAGGAGACCTGACCATGGGGTCATGAGAGCAGGTGAGCTGTCCCTGCCCCTCACCAGCTGCAGCTCTTGAGAGAGTCAGCCCTATACCTTGCCTAGGCAGCACAGTAGAGCTGACCCTGTTTGTGGGGTCACAGACAACCCAGCTCTGAGGTCATGATCGTGGGTAAGCCAGTCTTGCCTCTTGTCTGCTCGGTGGTAGCTTCAATAAGGGAGAAATGTCCTCCTTTACTCCCTTGTCCCTTGCTATCTATGGCAGGCAGGAGAGCTGGCCCTGGGGTCATGAGAGTGGGAAAACTGGCCATGTCCATCACTGGCTGCAATACTTGGGAGAGTGGGCCCTGCACCTTGCCTCGGCAGCAGTGTAGTGCTGACCCTGGTTTCACCAGGACCATCACCAAGGACACAAAAGCAGAGGAACTTGCAGGCTGTACAGTTTGGATACCTCTCAGGCCCAGATCCAGGGCTTTGAATTGGCCCAACATCTACTCTATCAATGAACTGCAGGAGTGCATAAAGAGGCTGGTCCTACAGATCCAAAACTGCAGGACCTCCATGACACAGAGCAACAACAGGATATCCTAGAGGATATCCACTGAAGTTCCAGTATCGATAGAGTAGCAGAAACCAGAGGCCTTGTACCTGACCAATGAGTCACTGCAATGAACATTTGCAAGTAAAAATGTATGGACAAAAGAGTCTACTGTGGAACACACTGTGACACACTAAGGCTTCCACAACGAGAGGTTTTTTTTTTTTTTCTGTTGTGTGGGAGGTTGCAAGGATGGAGGATGGGTATAAGAGAGGAAGGAGAGATGAGTGGGATTGGGGTTGATGATGTGAAATTCACCAAGAACAATAAAAAGCTTTTCTTTTTTTAAAGATTACAGAAGCCCACACCGTTCCTAGTTCTGTGTCGTACTTATGGATCAAGACAAGAGCTCTCAGCTACTGCTCCAGTACCAGGTCTACTTTCCTGATGTCATGCTCTCTGATAATGATCATTGATTCTAACCCTCTGAAGCTGTAAGTACCCAAATTAAACACTTCCTAAGTTGCTTTAGTCATAGTGTTTTATCACCATATTATAAAAGTAACTAAAACATTTTCTTTGTTCTTTCCTTTTCTTTCTTTCCTTTTCTTTCTTTCCTTCTTTCTTTCTTTCTTTTTTCCTTTCTCTCTCTCTCTCCCTCTCTCCCTCCCTCTCCCTCTCTCTCTCTCTCTCTCTCTCTTTCTCTCCTTCTTTCTTTCTTTCTTTCTTTCTTTTTGAGACAGGGTCTTATATACCACAGACTGGCTGCAAATTCACTCTGTCGAAGGATGACCTTGAACTTCTGATCTCCTGCCTGGGATTATAGGCATGCTACCTACCTTCTGCAGTGCTGAGGACTGATCCTCTGGCTTTCTAAATGCTCCACAAGCACTCATCCAACTGAGTTACAGCCTTTTCTACTTTTAAAAACGTATCTAGTAATTTTGCTTTTAAAAAAAAAACAACAGGATGACAAAAATTTAAAAACAAAAAACAAAAAAAGACTATCTCGATAAATAAATAAATAAATAAATAAATAAATAAAGTAAACAACAACAACATGATAAAGGAGAGATATGTAGCCAGACTGGCCTTGGCATCACTGTAATCCCTGAAACAACCACGTTTCTTATTTTAGTTGACAAATAATTATACATTTTCATCCAAGTACAATGGTGCACACCAGTAACGATGCACTCAAGAGGCTGAGTCAGAAGGATTACTATAAATCTAAGGCTAGCCTGGGTTACACAGTGAGTTCCAGGCCCACTTTGGTTATATAGTTATGACTCTTCTCAAAAACAAAATTGGACATGAGATATGTAGACATTGGGGAATCACTGAAATGAGATAATTAACATATACATTACCTCATATTCTTAATCATTTTTGTGGTATGAGCACCGACTCCCTTTACAATCTCAGAACAAATACAATGCTATTAACTGTGGTCACTGTGTTTTACAACATGCCAGAAAATTTTTAGAGTCATCATTATTTTACCTAAAGAAGAAAAAGTGCTTCCAATTACACCGTGATGCCATGCCTTCCTAAGCCTTGTGATTATTGACTTTCTTCTCAATGCAGGATTTCTCCATGCTCGGTGTGACGGCATGAACCTTTTGTCCAGCTACATAGAATGCTGAGACAGGAAGGTGGACTTAGCCCAGGAGTTCCAGGGCAGCCTGGTGACTCAGTGGGACATCCTTCCCCTACTAAAACAAAGCAAAACAGTTCTTTGGAACTTACAACCTGCTATCAGTCATCCTTCTTATATGCTTTATATATATGTATTTACATGTGAAACCAAATGATCACGCACTAACACATAGATAGATCCTATCTGTCTACAACTGTAAGAGCCATTATTTATAACATTGACTCCCATTTTGTCTATTTTTCGTTTGTTTTTATTCATTTTTTCAATTTTATTTGTATTTTTTCTTAAAGGAGAGAGGCAATTGAGATAGGGTCTTATGTAGCCCAGGCTAGCCTAAACTCACAATTTACCCGAGATTGATCTTGGTCTCCTGGTCACCCTGTCTCTGCCTCCTGAGAACTAGAATTACTTATGTGGTTTATCACAGCCGACTCCCCTCACTTTGAAGACGTTAAAGGGACTGAGGCAGTAGCTTGATCAACAGCACTCACCCAGCGTGTGCAAGACCCTGTTTACACTCAGAATGACAATTAATCAATCGATATCAGGGGAAATGTATATTAAACTTGAAATACAGATAATCTCTTCTTCCTAGATTAGCATCTGGCACACAGTAGGTACTCAGTAACTGTTGTGGGCTTCCTATTTGTTTGTGACACAGCACAGTCCAATCAAAAAAAAAAAAAAAAAAGGAAGCTGGGTGTCATATGTCTATAATCCCAGCTCCTAAAAGATAGAGAGGCAAGAGAATCAGGAGTTCAAAACTAACCTCTTCCATATTGAGAGTTTGAGACCAGCTTGGGGTATAGAAACCCTGTGTTAACGAAACAAAAATGAGAGCTGCCATTTCCAAATGGCCCTAGATTTGGGTTCAAAGCTTCCAGAATGGCAGTTTGACACAGGACCTTTTTGAAGGAGCTGGAGGTGTAGGACTAGCTCCCAGCCCAGAGGATATCTTGCATCCCTAGTGGGAGAGAAGATGACTATTGACTCCATGCAGCAGATTGGTGGAAATGAAGACTATCAGATCTGCTGGCTTTAGCAGAGTCAGGAGGAGATCATGAGCTTCAGAGTATGATGTGTTGGCCCTTGGAAGTGTTTTTTTTTATATATATATAAGTACATTTTTGGACCTTGTGTCCATAAACATCACTAAATGTCATGCTCTACACTCTGCCTGCACCACATCACTCTCCCCCAGTGAGATGCAAGGATTCCAGTGAGGGGAAGGATTCCATTTGTGGGGAAGCAGAGCAGTTATAACCAAAGGAAAGTAATTACACATTTAGGACAGGGACAATACTCTACTATGCCTCCGTGTGGATGGAATTTTGTTTGAACAAGTTAAATTTGCAAAACACAAACACACACACACACACACACACACACACACACACACACACACACACACCTCTTCACCAGGAAAAGAAGAAAGAGCCCATTGCTTGCTCTTGTATTTTAAGCTTGGGTAAATATAGGGCACCACTTTCAAACCCTGACATTTGGCTACCCTAAGTCTCACCTTGGCCACAGAGGAATCTGTCAAAACTGGGGCAAGTTCTAGTCAACCAAGATGCTTGACAGTGCACTGAATGGGTGAGGCAGGTGGAGGCCTGACCAAGTACTGGGAGGAGCTCTGGATTCTCAAGGCAGGGAACCCATGAGCTTGTTGAGTGGCTGGACATTTGCTTGATCCAAGATACATGTATAAAATGGACTCTCTCTCTCTCTCTGTCTCTCTCTGTCTCTCTCTGTCTCTCTCTCACACACACACACACACACACAAACACACACAACAAGCACTG